GACCTGAGGAAGCCTTTGAGTTCAGATACTGTAATTGAATCTTTGTTTACAAGCATATCCTTAAAGGCCCCTGGTTTGATGATCCTCAACACCCCTCTGACCACCTCTGCCTCTGCGAAGCCCTCTTTCACTCCCTCGTCGATTTGTTTGCTTATATTGTTGTAATTTAAATCAGAATTCTGGTCTCCAACCTGACCACCATGTACTTTGAAGTCTCTGCGCTGCAGGTAGGAGAGGTCCTTCAGCACTACTGGTCTCTCCGAGATCATCTGTGACATAGAGAATGGCTGTGACTCACCCTGGTGGGGGTAACTTGTGGTTGGTGGGGTCGCTGTAGATTCACATCGTCGCAGTTTCTCACCCAGCTCTTCATACACTTGTCTCAGTTCTTCTACTGACTGTGTTGTTGTATTAGTATGAGTGTTAGGGTGGGGTTGTGTTTGCATAACTGTGCTGTTAGGGTGCGAATGAGGTTGAGATGCAGAATTTGGGATTGTAGTGGATGGACTGTGACTCGGCGTAACATGTGTGTTACTATCACCCAATGCACCCACTGGAAAATTAACAGGAGCATTAGCATTAATTACTTTACATATCAAATCATTTAAAACCAACAATTGACCCATGCCTTCATCCTCAAGTTCTAGTAAGGTGTCAGATTGCATGTATGAGACGACATACTCCATGCAGCCTTCTTCATCATTCGGATTCAGCTCTTCCTTGTGTTGACTGTCGATTGCAATGTCTTTTGCAACCTGATAGATGTCGTTGCTTGAGAGTCTGAATAGTTGTTTCTTGATGCTCCATACTAGTTCTTTGCGAATTGCTGACATGGCGTGTAGTCCTGATGTCACTTTGTAGTTTGTTAGTTCAGTAAATCAGCGGTGTAGTGACTTGGTAAGTGGCGTGTGTGCGCTTTGACTTCCCGATCACAGATGAGATTCCCCTGATGCTGGTGTGTGTGATCACCACAGGATCAGCCGTGTGGCTCACCAGCGACTAGTGTGCGTTGGCCTCAGGATCAGCAGTGCGGCTCCTAAGCGAGGTGAAGATCCTTTTCTCTTTGATCTCCCTCCCTGGACACCCACGGGTTGACTCCTGGCCTGCAGCAGCGTCTTGTCACCTTGGTCGTGTGGTTCTAGTATCTCTGGATCTGCTCCTCCGATGGTTGTGATGAGGAGAGATCCCGGACGAGCCCCCACAGTTTGTTACGAGTTTCAAATAGTGTAACTGAAGTAACAAATGATTTTGACTGGGGTTCACTGCTCTCAACTCTCCTAGATGCAACCCTGGAAAACAGAATCACAGCGTGAATGAGTGAAAGAGCAAACCGCCTTCTTCGTCTCCAAATCTCTGTCTGAGAGAAGAGGGAGGTGCCTCTCACCTGGGTACCGTGGTGCAACGATCCCCACACTTTGGTTCCGCTTTCTTTTTTTTTCCCCCTAGATTAATTCTTTTTTTTTTTTAATTTTTCTATTAATCTTTCACAATAAAATTGGTGTTCTATTTAACACTGCACTGGTTATTGTATTATCCTATAAAGGGTGTATCACACGTATATTCAACAGACACTGAACTGCAGGAATGAATTTAGACTTGTAAAGCATCTTCATCAACCCTTGAAAGTTGGTGTGATAGTAGACATCATCTAACGATTCTAAACACGGATGTTTTTTCTGACTGGGGTGGCTGGTTTGACATCTGTAGCAGTTGGCAGTGCGGTACTTGTTGATGGTGAGGGCGAGCAGATGCAGCACAGTCGTTTTTACAGTACCATAGAAAGCACTAGACAGCCAGCCGTCGATTTCGTCCGCCAGTTCTTCCTCATCCCACAGGGGAGATGGTGATGGTGGCGGGGTCAAAGAAACAGAGCTCAAAAGGGTTGGATACTCTGATGCTGGCCGTGGAGGTGTGGGAGGCTGGGAATCGCCCATGTCTACCCAGACGGAGTCACAGAATGAGTTCTGTGGGGTTGGTGGATAGCCAGGGCTCTGGACCACCCCTCCAGGATCGGAGGAATCGTGGGTTGAGACCTGCAAATCCTGGGTCCCATCTGCGTATGAACCAGGGGTGCAGCATGGCGAGTTGTACAGCGTTGGAGAGGCAGGGCTCTGGGGTTCCCCCAAAATAGTGCTGAGGTTACAGGTGGATCCATCGGCCGAGTGTCTGCGAGCTGCACCCCGAACAGCCCCGGAGGTTGAATCTTCAGGGATGTCTGAAAAGGGGGTCCAGATAGTGGTGAGCCGGCGCTGCTGGAGACGTCTATTGATGGTGGCCATGTCTTCTTTTTTCGTTTTGGAGTGGTTTGATCAAGGATGATGTGTGAGGTTTGTCTGTGTTACTCCTTTTTAAACCTTTGAAGATGGGGTAGTTGTCGGAGAGGGGGCAGTAGTGGACAGTCAGGGTGTGGTAGTGGGCGGTCAGGGGTGTGGCTTAGAACGTCAGCTTTTTTCTCACTTTCAAAGTGTCATTCCAATCACAGACATCTCATCTTCTGGTATATTCTCTTTTTCACAATCGTAAAACTTTTCTTGTAGCATTGTGAACTGGTGGTGAACTCTTTGCTGACTCTGTACACAATCTCTGTCCTTTGTTCGCACTTGAGATTTAAAGGTTCCCGGCCACAGGGGCGGGGAGGGGGTGTGCTAATTAACTGTGTACAATCTATTGATTGTTTTATCTTAAAAAGATGTTCACCATCTGGATGGGGGGCTGAGATATCTTGAAGTGTCAGATTTTGATTGATCGATTTGACCTTTCTGACCGGGCATAAAGGGTAAGCGTAGGAAAGGGGCGTGGAAAGGGGCGTGGTCCTGTCACTTTAGCACTTGACATAAAGTGCATAGATCCATCTCTCTATCCTCTCACAGAACATCTTATAGCTGACATCAAACATTGGCTCATTCCTAAAACAACACATATGAATGAGAAGCAAATAAATGAATAAGTGTTGTGATTGTGTGCACATACAACAGAAGGAAAACTGGATGTTTACTTATATAATGTTAAGTTAGTAGCTCCTTGAAATGCAATATAATAAATAACTTACTGTTCTTTCTCTGGTTTGGCAGGCCTCGTCAAAAACCTGGTGTACTGATTGTAACAGCCTTTGTGGTACTGCACCTTCAGAGCCACACAGTCTTTATCTTTTATATGCATAAGAATGCTTTGGTCTTCCTTCAACTCGGCAGCTTTATGCAATTGGCCTTAACGAAACAAAGGATAACTCAATGAGATGGTTGACATATCTCTCACACATAATTGTACCTTTCAGTCACTCAACCACAGTGTATGTCTGTGTGTGTGTGTGTGTGTGTGGGGGGGGGTTACCTGCTGTTAATGTTTCAGCCTTTGACAGAGGATCCCTTTGTCGTTTGCCTGCTTTGTTGATTAATTTCTCCCTTTTCTTGCATATTATGCACAGGGCAGGAAGGACGGGGCCAGAACCTGGGATTGGCAGGTTTTGGCAGGTTGTGCCGTTATGTTTTGGCTGAAATTAAAGATATTAGAGATAATATTTACCCCCCCTTATGCTTGCAGATTCATTCTCAGGATTAATCCCGATGGCTCGGAATGCCAATCAAGAACACAGATTAGCAGACGAACAGGGGGCGCAGAGAAAGAATGCCAACCTGAACCCTGTTGTGGCTGCACTTATAAGAGAGCTGGTGGATTTTGAGTGGTAAAATTACTAATAAGTGATTCTAAGATTCTGGAGTATTTCATATTTTTAAATTATAATTCTATATCAGTTCAGTACATCTTACTTATTATTAATTCCATGTTTTCTCTCACATTTTGCTTTTTCTCTATCTTTCTCTCTCTCCCCCCTCTCTATTTCTCTCTGTCTTTCTGTCTCTCTCTCTCTCTCTGTCTCTCTCTCTACACACACACACACACACACACACACACACACACACACACTTGTTTATGTTCATGCTGTTAGTTTATGGATTTCAGTTCAGTACATTTTATCTCCATCACACTTAAGTCCATGTTTCTCTCATATTTTGCTCTTTCTCTATCTTTCTTTCTCTCTGTCTCTCTCTCTTTCTCTCTCTCTCTCTCTCTCTCTCTCTCTCTCTCTCTCTCTCACACACACACACACACACACACACACAGACAGGTACACACACACACTTGTTTATGTTCATGCTGTTAGTTTTTTTGATTTCAGTTCAGTACATTTAACTTAATTTCATGTTTTCTCTCATATTTCTCTTTCTCTCTCCCTCTCTGTCTCTCCCCGCCCCTCTATTTTTCTCTCTCTGTCTCTCTCTGTCTGTGTGTCTCTCTCTCACACACACATACAGACAGATACCCACACACACGCTGTTAGTTTCTGTTTTCCAACATTTGATTTTGACAGCCTACACAGCAAAGTGCAAACCACTACTTCCACAAGCCCCAGGGTGTTGTTAAAATTACATGTTTTTGTACAAGTGCAAGTACATTTTTTTTAATAAAGTAATATTGTAAAACACATACTGATAAATGTGTAATTCATCGAAAATAATTTATATTGTAGAGGTAAATGTAGTAGCAGTACTGTGAATGCTAAAATAATAAGTATTGTAAATGAAGATACAATATTATGGATTGTTAGATCCAGAGTTTCCCCCGTATAGGTGGTACTGGACCAGCTCTCCGTTATAAAGGGTCCGAGCCTTTTGCCTATGAGTATTACCCTATTAGGTTAAAAAGACTATTTAAGCTGGTGGCGAGGAGACACGCCTAGCCTCTAACTGCCTTCGTCCGAACGCCTACCCTGCTCACTCTAGTGCAGCACCCGACCGAATAGCCCTAGGGCCGAATACCACACTAATCACGTTCATGGCAGCTCTCCTCTTACTGATCTGTGCACTTAGTTGCTAGGATTATTTTAGGGGCTTGGACAGTAAGCCCTGAGGGTCTGTTTAATTTCCTGGGCTAGAGTAACCTATTAGAACTGTTAAGATGATGAACACACTACCTAATAATTACTGCCTGATGAGACAACATAAATCCAATGTCCACAGTTTATTCTCTAACTTCAATGGTTATTTTTATTGCAAGATTTAGCAATAAAAATAACTAATAAATGAATAAAAATAATACATTATTTTATTGCCAGCATACAGCATAAATTGATTCAAAAACCTTGATTGTTCACATTCACTAATAATGATTAACTATTTTTATAATAATAAGTAAAAATTGTTTAAAATTCAAACCCCTGATGAAAAGGCTTGTAGTTGAGTGGTTGAATGTCGAGCTTGTAGAGAGAGAGGGAAGAGGTGTACTGGCCGATACAGAGGTGTACTGGCCGATGCAGTTCTTCCTCGCCTGCCGCACTGTTGGTTGCTGTTGAAACTCCCGACTTTATTCAAAGTCCGCAAAGTCTCTGATCAGTGCGGTCTCTGATGGCAGGGTGAACGAAAGAGTGATCCTTGGTGATCAATTGGAACCTGAAGCCGGGTGGAGATGGTTAATCCTCCTCTGCCCGCCACTCCCGTCTCAGCTGTGGGTTGTTGGACTTCTCTTTCTGCGATGATGGCTTGTTCGTTGCTCTGTCTCTTGAGTTGAAAGTCTAAGTTCAAAGATGAGTTGCTCTGATGTGGTCAATCGATCAGCAAGTCTTGAACCCGAGAGCCGGCCGAGGACTAACCACGATCCTCCTTGTGTAGCCCCTTTTATCCCCCTAGGGTGTTCGGTTCGGGGCCGCGCTACTTCCTCTTTTGCTCCTCACAAGACGGTCCTGTGTGTGCGCTCAACTTCACAAGATGTGTGTCCGCTGTGTGCGCTCAACTTCCCCTTTCTCTCCGCACCAGACATGTCTGGTGGCCTACGTGCCTTTCCACCTAGTTACTCAACACTTCAACATGATTTGCCCTCTTGACCTTACGTTCCATAGTTCGATCTTACTACTATGCATTTATACTCATTAATTATCAAATAATCAGTTACAATCAGCTTTGGTTATTATAATCTCTGTGCATTGCGTTATTCAGATGCTCCGTTGTGGTTTTGGCAGATCAGGGATCTCAACTTACTTGACAGGATAGGTACTGTAAATTAATATACAGTAGTAAATAATACTGTAAATGGTTATACAGTAATAGGATACTACTGTAAATTAATATACAGTAGTAAATAAATACTGTAAATGGTTATACAGTAATAGGATAACTACTGTAAATTAATATCCAGTAATGGTACTGTAAGTACTTTTACAGTAGTCTTTTTACAGTGTACACAAAGTTGCTTACATGTATTCGTAACATCATAATTATCAGTTAGATCACACTGATCCAGTCCAGGAGTCTCATTTCTTCTTCAGCTCAACTTCAGCTTGTTGGAAAGGGTTGGATCCAATGTCCTCAAGCCCTCAATCAGGAAGGAACTGGCTTGTGTTCCTTTGTTTCGTACCATGTCAATCACAGTTCGAGCATTGTCAGCCCTGCTGCTGGTTCTGGCTGAATCCATTTCTTCTTGATTTATAATTTTCCGTTCTAAAAGTTTATCCAGCAGCTGTTTCAGAACAGATTCAGTCACTGATCTGACAAACTCTGACCGAACTGATAACAACCTGCTCTCTGGTGAACCACTCTGAGGATTTTCTTCACGTAGGGCCGGATCTAAGGGGCGAGCAGAACAAAGATTGTTATTTGTTTGCTTATGTTGTTTTTATCATCATTGTTATTTTCTTGTTTTGTTCTGGCTTTTGCTCAAGAACTCTGTAAAGCACTCTGGGTTACTTTGGGTATGAAATGTGCTATATAATAATATAATAAATCAGCATTGCCTTCAGTAACACCGGCCTCTGACTGTGAGTTCAGATGCAACACCGAGTGAATTTTACAGCTTGAAAGTTTATGTAAAGCTGCAATCAGACACAAGTTCTCCTTGTGTAAACTGATGCAGATAAAAGGTTTCAGCTCGAGTGAAAAACTGTCCAACCAATTCTATTCAATTCAATTCAATCTTATTTGAATATCGCCAGTTCATAAGTACACACACTTTAAGATGTGATGGATTTATAAGTAGGACTGAATTAAATGATCCCACAGCTGCTGGTGCTCTCTGTTGATGCAAACAGTTTCAGTTCTACTGGTGAAATGTCTGCCACTACCTGATTCAATGGGTGAGGTTTTCTTTTGTCAAGTTCAGAGCGTTCAAACGTCACATGCAAAAAGCTCAGGCACAACATTTCCTGAGTCCCTGTTTATGTATTACTGATGATTGTCTGCAGGAACGAACTGAAGATGCATTAATACATAATAAGTTTATGTATTCATCAGCTTCAATGAGCTTAATGTTGCTTTCTTTCACATTGTGTCAAATGCCCACTGAAATTTTGGTCTATTCTTATCTGCTGTACTATCAGGTGGAGTGATGCTGCAGGTGGATGAACACTTTACCAATCAGATCAACGTCATGCTCCCAGACTTCCATCTGTCCCTGGTCTCGGACCGTTAAAGTCACTTCTTTTGTGTGTGTAGGCAGGCGGATCTCAAACGTCGGGTGGTAATTTGATCCAAACCCCAGGACAAAATTTGCTTTCTGAAACCAAAGTGTCAGTTTCTCCATAGTATTGAAGGTCAATTAAAGGTAGAGACACAGCAGTTTAATGAATCATGACACAGACTTTTATCTAAAACACTCACCTTGGGCTGTATTTTGACGGCTCCAGGACAGTGAACAGTGTAACTTTCGCCTTTGATAAGTTCACATGTGGAAGTGGCCATGATGTATTGATAATTCTTCTGTTGTTTCCTGACCTTAAAAGGCATCAGAACATTTAAATTAGAGACTTTATCCTCAGTAGAACCAACTGATCAGTCAGCAGGCCAATCATATCTCATTACAGATCTGCAGCGTGAAGTTTTACCTCGTCCAGACTGATGTTGCACGGCAGGAGAATCACATTCAGTTTTTGTATTTCTGTCTTTGGGTTCGGTGGTCCGAGGAACAGCAGAACTTGGCCACTAACTGCTTTCATCCACAACCTCATAATGTCCCAGATCAGGCCGAAGATAGAAAGGTGATGCACTTCAACAATCACATGAGTGTCTGTAATCTGCAGCGGCTCCAGGATGCTCATTCCATCATCAGTGATGTGGACAACAGACAACAGACCATCAGGCAGCAGACCTGTGAAAACACAGAGCAGTTAGACTTTGTTTTACTGATAACAACCTCAGTACAATGTTAGTCCAGTGAGTCTAGCTATCCCAGCCCCAGTGAAAGAATATAAACCTGGGTCATCACTATCAAAGTTGGCAGAGCTCAGACAAAAAGTTGTTGATGGCTCTCTGCAGCGTGTAGGGGGCACAAACCAGACTTTACAGTTTTATCATTCCTCTAACAAAACTTTCCACTCACAAAGCACAATAACATCCTTACCATCCACATCCATTGTTTCACAGTGTGGGAGGTGGAGCTGACAGAGAGCAGCATCCTCTGAACACTTGATATCGAACAGCAGCCCTGCAGGCGTCTTTCCAGCTGATTGGAGGAGGCTCTCATCCCATTGGACTGTCCTGTAAAGCAGCTCCACCTCCTGAGCCACAACAAACACCAGTCCAGTAAAAGTACACTGGAACAACCCTGGACCAGGACACCTGAACCTGTAGGACACAGAAGGGTTGATTACTTCAAGCTTTCAGCCTGTTGGTCACATGATCTGTCGAGTTAAGACGTGCAGATACTCTGTGTTTTTATTCATCTTCTACATTGAGTTTAACATGTTTGTAATCTTCCTTTCTTGCAACGTTGAAACTTAAATCCATCCAATCCCCAAACAGACAGATCTTTTATTGTTCAGTTATTTCTAGCTGTTTTTCCTTGAGAACCAAAGTGGGCATGGAATATTCTACAGGTGGTTGTGCAGCGCTCTCTGTTGCTGATGCATCCTTGATTACAATGGTTCCACTTAAAACTGGCTGAAAATCGCTCTCTCTCTCTCTCTCTCTCTTTCTCTCTGTGACACAATCTTAATGCTTTATGCAAAGTAAGCTGTTGGACCAGCTAGCTAAACTGAAGAGGTTGAACTTTTAGTGCAGGAGTTGACATGGTCAAAGTATTCTGCATTTTATGATCTGGTTACCTGTATGAACTCTTTCCAGACTCAGTCAGCAGTTCAGGTCTGAAACTTAACTTGTCCTAAAAGTGAAAAAGGTACAAACTTAGTTAATGAAACTGGACTGGAGAGTTAATTAGAACACATTGAGATGGGAGCAGAAACTGGCTACAGGTGACTGGATCCTCACTGCTTCACTTTCTACTCTACGTAAAGCCTGCAGGACTACGTTGGACAGCAGCTGGTCGTTTAATATTAGTAGAATTTAGAAGGTCAGAAATATTTAACCCTGAAGGGGGTAAAACTAAGGAACCAGAGTCTGATCACTGACAGATGAATAATGATATGTTAAAGTTAAAAACTGACATTTGTATTCAGAGCCTCTCCACACACAGGCTGCTGTTGCTGCTTCAGCCTCTCTGGATCATCAGGACACAGCTGATCCTCTTCATCCACACTCTCCTCTCTGCTGTCCTCAGACACATCCAGGACTGAGCTTGATTTGGACGGATCTGGTGGGTGATTAGAACCATCACATGGGGACAAGAAGACACACAGCAGATGTCAAACTTACATTTGGACATCCTGGTGACACAACATTCATAAATCTATATATCCATATCTCTCTCTCTCTCTCTCTCTCTCTCTCTCAGAGTCGGCGTCTGTCCGAGGTTTCTGCCTCATAAAAGGAAGTTTTTCCTCACCGCTGTCTCCAAGGTCTTGCTCATGGTGGTACTGTTGGGTCTCTGTAAATACTTTTATAAGGAGTTCGGTCTAGACCTGCTCTATTTGAAAAGTGTCCCGAGATAACTTCTGTTATGAATTGGGGCTATACAAATAAAATTGGATTGAATTGAATTGAATTAAATCTGTAACAGCAACATCTCCAGTTCAAGAATGGGCAAGGCCCTATGTAGCATATCTTTCTCCTCAGACAAACCTCCACTAATGTCCAAATGTAAAGAATTAGTCGATACAATACAATGTATAGAAAAATAACAAGGACTGAGACCTTCACCCACAAGACATCCTCTTTCCCAACATGCAGGGCACAACAAAAGATCTGCTGTGGTTATTGGGATTAACCAGCACCATGAAGCCCACAGCAGCCAATCCTCCATTTATGCTTTAATACTAGTTTAGTTTCTTTAATACATCCAGTGGGTGTTTACTCACATCCTTCATGTTGGTGAGGTGTAGTCCTGTTTTCTCTGTCGTCCATCCTGTAGGAACAAACACAAAAACAGCAGTTATCTCTCATGAAGAGAGTTAAAATGGTCAGCTCAATCTATCAACCTGTTTTTTTGCAGCCAAGCTATGAGTGCATTCACATGAAACAGGGAGTAGTCTGGAGTGGTGGGCTTCAATAATGGCCAATCACATCATCAATCACATCACATCAATACGTTAATTCAATTCAATTCAATTCAATTCAATTTTATTTGTATTGCGCCAATTCATAAGAGAAGTTATCTCAGGACACTTTTCAAATAGAGCAGGTCTAGACCGAACTCTTTAAAACATTAATTACAGAGACCCAACAGTACCACCATGAGCAAGACCTTGGAGAAAAGGGCAAGGAAAAACTGCCTGTTAAAAGGCAGAAATCAAGGACAGATCCTCCGGCTCTAGGTGGGTGGTCGTCTGGCTCGACCAGTTGGGGTGAGAGTGAGAGTGAGAGTGAGAGTGAGACAGAGAGAGAGAGAGAGAGACAGACAGACAGACAGGTGCACAGCAACAACAGTATTGGCAATGGCAATCTAGCAGGACCATGGCAGGAGGCTCCACCAGGATCGACAAGAACCTGCAAGACGAGAAAGCACAAGAACTCCGGGGAAGAAGTGAAGTTAGCAACATGCATTAATGGAACATGAATAAGTGCAGAAAGAGACAGAAAGGGAGGAGCTCAGTGCACCATGGGAAATCCCCCGATAGTCTAGGCCTATAGCAGCATAACTAAGGGCTGGTTCAGGACTCACCTGATCCAGCCCTAACTATAAGCTTTATCAAAGAGGAATGTCTTAAGCCTACTCTTGAATGTGGTGAGGGTGTCTGTCTCCTGAACCACAACTGGAAGCTGGTTCCACAGGAGAGGAGCTTGGTAACTGAACGTTCTGAATTAATTGGAGCGTTTTAATGGACTTATTGGGGCAACCTGATAATAAAGAGTTGCAGTAATCCAGCCTTGAAGTAACAAATGCATGGATAAGTTTTTCTGCATCTGTCTGTGATAGGATGTGTCTAATTTTTGTAATATTACGTAAATGAAAGAAGGCGGTCCTAGAGGTCTGCTTTATGTGGGAGTTAAATGACAAATCCTGATCAAAGATAACTCCAAGATTCCTGACAGTGGTGCTAGAGGCCAAGTTAATGCCATCTAGAGTAACTATATCTTTAGACAGTGAGTCTCTAAGGTTTTTGGGGCCAAGAACAAGAATTTCGTTTTTCGTTTAACATCAGAAAATTGCAGGTCATCCAGGATTTTATGTCCTTAAGACATGTTTGTAATTTAGATAATTGATTAATTTCATCGGGCTTGATTGATAGATATAACTGCGTATCATCTGCATAACAGTGAAAGTTAATGGAGTGATTCCTAATAATGTTGCCTAAAGGGAGCATATATAAAGTAAATAGTATTGGTCCAAGTACAGAACCTTGTGGAACTCCATGACTAACTGTAGTATTTATTGAAGATTCATCGTTAACATGTACAAACTGCGAGCGATCTGATAAATATGACTTAAACCAGCTTAGTGCGGTTCCTTTAATGCCAATTTGATGCTCAAGTCTCTGTAAAAGAATATTATGGTCACTGGTGTCAAATGCAGCACTAAGATCTAATAATACAAGTACAGAGACAAGTCCATCAGGTCAGAAGCAATCAGAAGGTCATTATTAACTTTAACCAGAGCTGTCTCTGTGCTGTGATGAACTCTAAATCCTGATTGAAAGTCCTCAAATAAACTATTGTTATGTAGAAGGTCACACAACTCTTTGGCGACTACTTTCTCCAGAGTCTTAGAGAGGAAGGGGAGGTTAGAAATCGGTCTATAGTTGGCTAAAACCCCTGGGTCAAGAGGGGGCTTTTTAAGAAGGGGTTTAATTACAGCTACTTTAAAGGACTGTGGTACATATCCTGATAATAAAGAAAGATTAATCATATCCAGTAAAAATGCCAATTAAGGGAACAACTTCTTTAAGCAGCCTATTTGGGATCGGGTCCAATAGACAGGTTGATGGCTTCGATGAAGAAATGATTGAAGTTAACTGATGAAGATCGATAGCAGAAAAACAGTCTAAATATATATCTAAGTTTACATTGACAGAAGTCCCTGAACTTGGAGAGCCACTGATAACTGTTGATGGCAGTTGGTGATTAATTTTCTCTCTAATAGTAATAATTTTATTATAGAAGAAGCTCATCAAGTCATTTACTTAAGTTTATGGGGATATGTGGCTCAATAGAGCTGTGACTCTCTGTCAGCCTGGCTACAGTGCTGAAGAGGAACCTAGGGTTATTCTTATTTTCTTCTATTAGTGCTGAGTAATAGGCTCCTCTGGCATTACGGAGGGCCTTTCTATAAGTTTTAAGATTATCTTGCCAATTTGAGCGATATTCTGATAAATTGGAAGAGCGCCATTTCCTTTCAGATTTTCTAGCTATTTGTTTTAACTGGCGGGTTTGGTGGTTATACCACGGTGCTAGTCTCCTATGTTTTAATAATTTCCTTTTTATAGGAGCGATAGAGTCTAATGTTGATCGTAGTGAGCCTGTAGCACTATCGACAAGATTATCAATTTCAGAGGGACTAAAGTCGTTATAGGACTCTGTTAAATTCAGACATGGCATTGAATTAAACACTGAAGGAATCTCCTCCTTAAATTTAGCTACAGCACTGTCAGATAGACATCTGCTGTAGGAAGTTTTGCCTAATGGCTTATAATCTAATAATATGAATTCAAAAGTTATTAAATAATTGTCAGATAGGAAAGGATTATGTGGGAAGACTGTTAAATGTTCAATATCAATGCCATATGATAGAACAAGGTCAAGAGTGTGATTAAAACAATGAGTTGGTTTATTTACACTGACAGAAGCCAATTGAGTCTATTAATGATATAAATGCATTACTAAGGCTGTCATTGTTAACATCCACATGAATATTAAAATCACCTACAATAATTACTTTATCTGATTTAAGGACTAAACTTGATAGAAACTCTGAGAATTCAGATATAAAATCAGAGTACGGTCCAGGAGCGCGGTACACTATAACAAATAGAACTGGCTGCAGTGTTTTCCAGTTTGGGTGAGAAAGACTAAGAACAAGGCTTTCAAATGAATTATAATTTAGTTTAGGTCTAGGGTCCATTAAAACGCTTGAATCATATATGGCTGCCACTCCACCTCCTCGGCCAGTGCCTCGAGGAATGTGAGTATTAATATGACTGGGGGGGGGGTGGATTCATTTAGGCTAACATACTCCTCGTGGGACAACCAGGTCTCAGTAAGACAAAGTAAATCAATATCATAATCTGATATTAATTCATTCACTAAAACAGCTTTAGAGGACAGAGACCTGATATTTAACAGCCCACATTTCATTCTCTTATTTTGTGCTACTGAGGAGTTAGTTTTAATTTTTATTAGATTTTTATGTTGAACTCCTCTTGTTTTTATTTCTTTAAATAATTTAGGTGGTCGGGGGACAGACACAGTCTCTATGGGGTTTTCGGTGGGTGACTGTTCTAAAGAAAGCGCAGAGAAGTGTGTAAGACAGCAGCTCTGCTTCCTGGTCCCAATCTGGACTGTCAGGTTTTAGAAATAAACTTCGCCATATTTCTAGATAAGAGAGCCGCTCCATCCAAAGTGGGATGGATGCCGTCTCTCCTAATCAGACCAGGTTTTCCCCAAAAAGGCTTCCAGTTATCAATGAAGCCCACATCGTTTGCTGGACACCACCTCGACAGCCAGCGGTGGAATGACGACATGCGGCTATACATGTCATCACTGGTCACATTGGGGAGGGGTCCAGAGAAAACTACAGAGTCCGACATTGTTTTTGCATAATTACACACCGACTCCGATTGGCGTAAACGGGTGTCATTACCGCCGACGTGGATAACAATCTTACTGTATTTACGTTTATCTTTAGGGTTAAGGGTCCAAACAGCTTGACAGGAGACTCTAGACTGACTTCTCTGGAGGAACCGTTCTGCACAGGAATGTCCCCAAGCACAGATATAGTAGAGCAGCCAGTATGTTCAAATGTGGAACCCAAATAATAGCCTACTACATATTAATAATATATGACCACATACATTTCATCCGATCATGTCTCCTTTGAGGTGGGTTTATGATCCAGGAGATGCAAAATTTTCTATGATTCTTTTCCATGAGGTCTCTGTGCTCGTCCACTAACTACACTTCCAACCAGACTGAGAGACTGCAGTCATGCTAGCGTCTCTCAAATCTGTCATTACACACAGTGGAGCTTGGAGCTAAATTCTAACATCAGCATGCTAACATGCAGATGTTCACCAGGTATAATGTGTCTTCTTTTGGCATATTAAGGCCTTCACTTTTTCAAGCTGTTACGTGCTGCAGTGTGACCCCAAGACCCCTGAGAGCTCTGCAAGCTTATACCGGTAAGAATAGTTTCGATGCAATATATTCACAAGAGAGTACTTCACATTTTTGTATTGTTTATTTATCAGGTCTCCCCTGTGTAAAGGCTTTTAGCATGCTAACATTAGCCAGTTAGTAGTAAAGACAAAGTCAAGCTGAATCTCATGGGAATGTCATTAGTTCTACAGGTGTTTTCTCATAAACTAAAGTATTGGAAAATGTCCACTGATGATGGTGCCAGAGGAAAAGTATGTAAAGAATGTCTGAACCTCATTTCATTACAATCCATCCAACAGTTGTACATTATTGAATTGTATTTCTTTGTGTGAACAGTTCAGGTCAGTTTACAGTACAAACTGTTTCTTACTTGAAGTCTGAAGGTCCAGGTTCATCACTGAAGCCTGGAGGTTTGTATTTAAACCAGCTGGATCCTGGAGACTCTGATCTGTCCTCCTCTGTCTCCAAATCACTCATTTCACTCAAGAACCTAGACAAATATACCCAGATACATTGCAGATAGACTTTCATCAAGGAAATGATCATTTATAGCCAATAACAACTGGACTCATCAGCACAGACTGACTTCAACTCACTACAAACCTCAGAGTATGCAGTCTATAGAGTGGAATATTGTCCTGCAGATTGTTGTCACTCAGGTCCAGCTCTCTCAGATGGGAGGGGTTGGACTTCAGAGCTGAGACCAGATAATCACAGCTGATCCCTGACAACCTGCAGAATCTCAATCTGAATAAAGAATAAAAGATGTAAGTTTAGAAGACAATGTTCCTGCTTGAAATCATTCAGTGTTTAATAATCTGTTGAGAGCTGAAGAAGGTTTAGAATGTACAAGTTTAGAAAATGGAAACTCCAAACACCTGAACCCAACAGGATGCAGGTTGCAAACTGTAAAATACAAAGAGTGAAACAGAGCTCTCATTAATATTAATGACAACGTGCTGCTGCTTCAATAAAGACGTAGTGACTAGGGGTGTCACGATTCTCCAAATCCTCGATTCAATTTCATTTTCGATTTTAAAGTCACGATTCGATTCGATTTTTTAATATTACTATTAATGCATTCCTTATATGTTATTTGCTTTTTTTGGCCTTTTCCTATTCTGTTTCAGGGGGCTTTTATTTTGAAAACGCTTTTTATTTTGAAACTGTTCCAACCGCGAGGTTGGAAACAGAACAAACATTAAACAGAGACGTGAACATAGTGAAATGAAACAACACAGAATGATGATTTGATTGTTTCAACACACTCCGAAGAGACCCAAGGTTAGTGTTCATGGAATATGTACTTATCAATGTGCATTTTAAGCCTTAAAGTCATTTTGGACTGTAACTAGATCATCTTTTCACCTGCTAAGTTGAGTAGGCTAAGTTAGTGTTAATTGACGTGAATGAATGACAAAATACTTCCATGCTGGTGATTTCAGAGCAGCAAGAGGGGCTTCGAGTTCGGTTGGTTGACGTGTATTTTTTAACTGGCTGCAGCCTAAAATTAGAGGAGTGTTGACGCCGCAGTTCAGCACGTGTGTGTGTTTTTTCGTCTTGGCATACGTGACATTGGGGGTGTGGCTGCATCGTCGATTCTACCTTTGAGTTCGGAGTTCAAGATTGAGATGTAATTTCGATCGATTTCGATTTAAAATCGAAATCGTGACACCCCTCGTAGTGACTTCAGCTCTTAACCTCTGCCAGCTCCACCAGTGGCTCCATCTATACAAACTCATGTTGTGCAGCCAAACACAAAGAAACACCCACAGAAACTGATTGAAGATTCCACTCAAGATCCCAAAGTTTACAAAGACACCAAATATGTCAGGATGGATTTTGGGGAAATGTGAACAAAAGACATCTACAATATTTCTTTTAGGAACAGTGGAGTCATAAAATCAAATCAGCTTCAGTTTAAACTATTCAGTCAGTATAAACATCATATAGCTTCATAACAATGTTGGAAACAGCAAAAAGTAAATCTATTTGTTATTGTCTGATAGTTGAAATAGAGATTATTGATTTATTCATTGTATTTATTGTCATCATTTCTTTTAAAACACATGATGGGGAATATAAGATGGAAATAAAGAGTGAATTATTCAGTGTAGATTCTTCTTGTTATATGAAGGTTTTAAATGTGGAGCTCAACATTGCTCTGCCACAGTCAATGGACTAAACCACTGAAGAAGAAAACAGACTTTAGCATTAAGATACTTAGTGTGGGCACCCGGTTAGCTCAGTGGGTAGAGCTGGCGACCCATGTACCGAGGCTGAGTCCTTGCTGCAGCAGCGAATCCGACCTGCGGCCCTTTGCTGCGTGTCATCCCTTCTCTCTGTCCCCCTTTCCTGTCTATCTTCAGCTGTCTCTACCATAAAGGCAATAAAAGCCCAAGAAAAAGATACTCAGTGTGGATCAGTATAATATCAGCCTTATGTCTGCACCTTACTGTAACCACAACTTTCACATCAGATTCATCTCAGCACAGAAGGAAAAAATAGTGTCTGACCTCAGAGTCTCCAGTCTACAGTGTGGACTCTCCAGAAAACCACACAGCAGCTTCACTCCTGAATCCTGCAGGTTGTTGTCACTCAGGTCCAGCTCTCTCAGATGGGAGGGGTTGGACTTCAGAGCTGAGACCAGATAATCACAGCTGATCTCTGACAACCAGCAGTCCCTCAATCTGAATAAAGAATAAATGATGTGAGTTTAGAAGACAATGTTCCTGCTTGAAATCATTCAGTGTTTAATAATCTGTTGAGAGCTGAAGAAGGTTTAGAATGTACAAGTTTAGAAAATGGAAACTCCAAACACCTGAACCCAACAGGATGCAGGTTGCAAACTGTAAAATACAAAGAGTGAAAAAGAGCTCTCATTAATATTAATGACAACGTGCTGCTGCTTCAATAAAGACGTAGTGACTTCAGCTCTTAACCTCTGCCAGCTCCACCAGTGGCTCCATCTATACAAACTCATGTTGTGCAGCCAAACACAAAGAAAAACCCACAGAAACTGATTGAAGATTCCACAAGGTTTACAAAGACACCAAACCGGAGGATGGACTCTGGGATAAACTCATACAATACTAAATTATCCAGAGAGAACACTACACAGGAAAATGGGTTTTTAGATTCTGATTCTGATTCTGTCTATAATGCATACAAATACCACAGACAGCCACATGGGACTGCACAACAATTAAACAATGCTGGGAGGAAATCACTGACAACCTCTCTCTTATGTTGGGCTTTCACATCCAAAAATCTCCTGCACTCTGCTTGCACCTCCATTTACAGAATCCTCTTCATAGTTCTAACCATCGCCAAGGAAACTATCCTCATGAACTGGAAATCAAGGAACATAATCAATATCACACTCTGGAAAAATATATGAATGGAATACATATTGATGGAGAAATTATCTGCCTCAATTATAAAACAAACTGTTGACTGAGACATTATTTGGAAGCCATTCATCTGTACACTAAACTCTTAACTTCACTCACACATTTACATACACACACACACACACACACACACACACACACACACACACACACACACACACACACACACTCTCTCTCTCTCTCTCTCTCTCTCTCATTAACTCGTTAATAAACCGGGCCATTCTCTCACTGTCCTTCACTGTTTTAGTGGCGCTACCAAGGTGCACACTTGGGAGCTGTAAGTTTATTTATCCATACATTAATATGTAAGTTATGGTTAGCGAGAGCGCTGCAGAGTTGCACTGCTGTCTCAGGAGTTTGGTTGGACAAACAGGGGCGTGACACAGCGGGTGGTTATATGCAATTATCTCGCAGGGTTTTCTAGGCAGAATAATTACTTTTTGTTTGTAATATTAATTTTTGCCATAATAACTCATTTGGGTTAAAGAGAAATGATTATATTATTGTATAATATTATTATAAATACATTGTGTTTAAATATATATTGTGTTTAGATTCTGGAAACAGTTAATAATAATGTAACGGGCCGTGTATACACTGTGGTTGTTTGTGTTCAGTTATGTTGTACTGTAGTGTATGGGTTGCGGGATGTCTGTGGGGTGGCGCTGTCAGAGCCTGTGAAGCCTGTCAGTCAGGGCAGTTATAGCAGAGATAGCCACTTTGGATTGGCGGAGGACCTGTGGGGGTGTGTCCGTGGTTGTGGGGCTCCGGTGTGTGAGAGTTGGGGAGAGACGTAAATGAGCTAATGTTGATCTCGAATGCAACAGAACCACGCTGGATGGACAAATTGACACTGTTAGTGCAGGCTGCCACAATGAGAGAGGAAGAGAAGGGGAGGCCACATTCAAGGCTCTGCTGGGGATGCGGACAGCCTGGCCACCTAGTCAGCATGATCGGGACGATGTGGACTCCTAAAACTGTGTCCCAACCTCTTCCAAGTGGGGAAGTAGTGCAACACTCCAACCAAGCAGGGAGCATTCACTGCGCTACAGAGAGCCCTTGTGGAAACCCCGGTTCTGTCCCCACCTGACCCCGCTCTGCCTTTCATCCTCAACACAGACGCCAGCAACGTCAGCTCAGGGGCTGTGCTGGCTCAGTCAATGCCTGGAGGAGAGAGAGTAGTGGCATACTACAGCAGGACATTCAACAAGGCAGAAAGTCGCTACTGTGTCACCAGAAAAGAGCTGCTCGCCGTGGTCAGTGCCATAAGGCCTGTGAAGCCTGTCAGTCAGGGCAGTTGCCATAGCAATGATGGGCGTGAGATAGCCACCTGGAATTGGCGGAGGACCTGTGGGGGTGCGTTCGTTGTTGTGGGGCTCTGGTGTGTGAGAGTTGGGGAGAGACATAAATGAGCTCATGTTGATAACGATATCTGCCTGTTTTATTGTTTTGGAATTGGCTACGGCCTACAGTAGCCTGTGTTCAAGCTGTGGAGAATAAAGACCAGCTAAACCAGTTCCTGCTTCGTAGCTCTATTATTCCGGGTCGCTACAATAATAGCTTATGGGATTAATTGTTGTTAATTAATGGAAATATTAAGCCCAGTGGGAGGGGCTAGGGAAGTCAGTCCTGGCTTAGTTACAGTGGAGGTAACGTGCACTGGAGGATACGACCTGAGTAACTGATGTATTTGTTGTGATATTTTTTTATTTATTTCTTTATGTTTGAAATGTTGTATATAGCATTTGTTTTTCCTTTTTCAAGTTTTGTACTTTTGGACCACTTTCTGTAAATATTATCACCGTTGTGCACCTTGGGAGACCAGAAATAAATTACACCAATCATATGTTCAGACTATGTCTGAATTTTTGAGGTGTTGGAAATAGAACCTCGCAACATTGTCTGATAGAGATTATTGATTTATTCATTGTATTTATTGTCTTCATTTCTTTTAAAACACATGATTGGGAATATAAGATGGAAATAAAGAGGGAATTATTCAGTGTAGATTCTTCTTGTTATATGAAGGTTTTAAATGTGGAGCTCAACATTGCTCTGCCACAGTCAATGGACTAAACCACTGAAGAAGAAAACAGACTTTAGCATTAAGATACTCAGTGTGGATCAGTTTAATATCAGCCTTATGTCTGCACTTTACTGTCAGCACAACTTTCACATCAGATTCATCTCAGCACAGAAGGAAAATATGGTGTCTGACCTCAGAGTCTCCAGTCTACAGTGTGGACTCTCCAGAAAACCACACAGCAGCTTCACTCTTGAATCCTGCAGATTGTCGTTGTTACTCAGCTCCAGCTCTCTCAGATGGGAGGGGTTGGACTTCAGAGCTGAGACCAGAAAATCACAACTGATCTCTGACAAACTGCAGGACTTCAATCTGAATAAAGAATAAAAGATGATGATAAAATCATTTCTAATCCAATCAGATGTGTTCAGGTTTTAAATGTGGAGATCAACATTACTACAGTGGGTACGGAAAGTATTCAGACCCCTTTAAATTTTTCACTCTTTGTTTCATTGCAACCATTTGCTAAAATCAAAAAAGTTCATTTTATTTCTCATTAATGTACACTCAGCACCCCATCTTGACAGAAAAAAAAAAAAAATGTAGAAATTTTTGCAAATTTATTAAAAAAGAAAAACTGAAATATCACATGGTCATAAGTATTCAGACCCTTTGCTGTGACACTCATATTTAACTCACATGCTGTCCATTTTTTCTGATCCTCCTTGAGATGGTCCTGCTCCTTCATTGGAGTCTAGCTGTGTTTAATTAAACTGATTGGACTTGATTAGGAAAGGCACACACCTGTCTATATAAGACCTTACAGCTCACAGTGCATGTCAGAGCAAATGAGAATCATGAGGTCGAAGGAACTGCCCAAGGAGTTCAGAGACAGAATTGTGGCAAGGCACAGATATGGCCAAGGTTACAAAAGAATTTCTGCAGCACTCAAGGTTCCTAAGAGCACAGTGGTCTCCATAATCCTTAAATGGAAGAAGTTTGGGACGACCAGAACTCTTCCTAGACCTGGCCGTCCAGCCAAACTGAGCAATCGTGGGAGAAGAGCCTTGGTGAGAGAGGTAAAGAAGAACCCAAAGATCACTGTGGCTGAGCTCCAGAGATGCAGTAGGGAGATGGGAGAAAGTTCCACAAAGTCAACTATCACTGCAGCCCTGCACCAGTCGGGGCTTTATGGCAGAGTGGCCCGACGGAAGCCTCTCCTCAGTGCAAGACATATGAAAGCCCGCATAGAGTTTGCCAAAAAACACATGAAGGACTCCCAGACTATGAGAAATAAGATTCTCTGGTCTGATGAGACCAAGATTGAACTTTTTGGCGTTAATTCTAAGCGGTATGTGTGGAGAAAACCAGGCACTGCTCATCACCTGCCCAATACAACCCCAACAGTGAAACATGGTGGTGGCAGCATCAGGCTATGGGGATGTTTTTCAGCTGCAGGGACAGGACGACTGGTTGCACTTGAAGGAAAGATGAATGCGGCCAAGTACAGAGATATCCTGGAAGAAAACCTCTTCCAGAGTGCTCAGGACCTCAGACTGGGCCGAAGGTTCACCTTCCAACAAGACAATAACCCTAAGCACACAGCTAAAAAAGGAGTGGCTTCGGAACAACTGTGACCATTCTTGACTGGCCCAGCCAGAGCCCTGACCTAAACCCAATCGAGCATCTCTGGAGAGATCTGAAAATGGCTGTCCACCAACGTTCACCATCCAACCTGACAGAACTGGAGAGGATCTGCAAGGAAGAATGGCAGAGGATCCCCAAATCCAGGTGTGAAAAATTTGTTGCATCATTCCCAAGAAGACTCATGGCTGTAGTAGCTCAAAAGGGTGCTTCTACTCAATACTGAGCAAAGGGTCTGAATACTTATGACCATGTGATATTTCAGTTTTTCTTTTTTAATAAATTTGCAAAAATTTCTACATTTCTGTTTTTTTCTGTCAAGATGTGTTGCTGAGTGTACATTAATGAGAAATAAAATTAACTTTTTTGATTTTAGCAAATGGCTGCAATGAAACAAAGAGTGAAAAATTTAAAGGGGTCTGAAAACTTTCCGTACCCACTGTATGTCCTAATCAATGAGCTTTTCTTTAAAATGAGTAGAGTGACTTTGTCATTGTGTTGACTTTTGTCTTTGTCAAATTTTTCCACCTGCGATTCTGTTTCATCAGCAGGTGAGCCGCGTGTGGAGGAGGCTCGTTGTTAATGACGTAGCCAATCAAAACGATGGAAACCAATGTGGTAACCAATGACATCGGCACCAGCTGATGTGTTCACTGCTGGTCACTGTTGCTTTATCTGGTCCGCTCTGGTTAAAATAAAGACTGTATCTGCACAGAGAGCGTCTGTCTCTGTGTGTCTCTGCAGGGTGACTGTCAGTAGACTGTACAGGAGGGGCAGAGCGAGGGCAGATTGTCACTAGTTTATCCATCACAGATACTTTTACTGAGTGAGAGATGCTTTGCTGAAGCAACGGAGGAAAACACAATGTTAGAGAGAAATGTAAAAATAGTTTCAGTTCATTATGAAACTATGGTGGAGGAAATTAGACCATGGTGGGCCGCCATAGATTAGCCAATGAAGGTGAAACACTGTGTGTGTGTGTGTGTGTGTGTGTGTGTGTGTGTGTGGGATCAATATAAATGATCAGACATTATTTGTGGAAACACATTGAAATGAACAGAAAGCAAAGAAATATTTCTCCTTCAGTAAAGTTGATCAATTTAAACAAATATGAGTTCAGAGGATCTTCTGTATCCAGATGTGACCATTTACCAACAATGATAAACATTCATTTACTTCAACATCTAACAGCGGACATTTTCTACAGTTTCTATAAGAAACACAAGTCTTTGTGACTGCAGACTAAACTTAGTTCAACTAACATGAAAATATGAACAAAAGGTACAACTTTATGGATGTAAGTTATGTATGAACATAAATTAGGCTCAATTGTTAATGAAACATATCAGATCTACAACAGTAACAGAGAGTCAGTGAACTGACCTCAGAGTCTCCAGTCTACAGTGTGGACTCTCCAGAAAACCACACAGCTTCACTCCTGAATCCTGCAGCTCGTTGTCACTCAGGTCCAGCTTTCTCAGATGGGAGGGGTTGGACTTCAGAGCTGAGACCAGATAATCACAGCTGATCTCTGACAACCAGCAATACCTCAATCTGAATAAAGAATAAAAGATGTGAGTTTAGAAGACAATGTTCCTGCTTGAAATCATTCAGTGTTTAATAATCTGTTCAGAGCTGAAGAAGGTTTAGAATGTACAAGTTTAGAAAATGGAAACTCCAAACACCTGAACCCAACAGGATGCAGGTTGCAAACTATAAAATACAAAGAGTGAAAAAGAGCTCTCATTAATATTAATGACAACGTGCTGCTGCTTCAATAAAGACGTAGTGACTTCAGCTCTTAACCTCTGCCAGCTCCACCAGTGGCTCCATCTATACAAACTCATGTTGTGCAGCCAAACACAAAGAAAAACCCACAGAAACTGATTGAAGGTTCCACTCAAGATCCCAAAGTTTACAAAGATACTAAATATGTCAGGATGGATTTTGGGGAAATGTGAACAAAAGACATCTACAATATTTCTTTTAGGATATCATAAAATGTCATAAAATCAAATCAGCCTCAGTTTAAACTATTCAGTCAGTATAAGCATCACATAGCTTCATAACAATGTTGGAAAAAGTAAAAAGTGAATCTATTAGTTATTGTCTGATAGTTGAAATAGAGATTATTGATTTATTCATTGTATTTATTGTCATCATTTCTTTTAAAACACATGATGGGGAATATAAGATGGAAATAAAGAGTGAATTATCCAGTGTAGATTCTTCTTGTTATATGAAGGTTTTAAATGTGGAGCTCAACATTGCTCTGCCACAGTCAATGGACTAAACCACTGAAGAAGAAAACAGACTTTAGCATTAAGATACTCAGTGTGGATCAGTATAATATCAGCCTTATGTCTGCACTTTACTGTCAGCACAACTTTCACATCACATTCATCTCAGCACAGAAGGAAAAATGGTGTCTGACCTCAGAGTCTCCAGTCTACAGTGTGGACTCTCCAGAAAACCACACAGCAGCTTCACTCCTGAATCCTGCAGGTTGTTGTCACTCAGGTCCAGCTCTCTCAGATGGGAGGGGTTGGACTTCAGAGCTGAGACCAGATAATCACAGCTGATCTCTGACAACCAGCAGCCACTCAATCTGAATAAAGAATAAAAGATGAAGATAAAATCATTTATAATCCAATCAGATGTGTTCAGGTTTTAAATGTGGAGATCAACATTACTATGTCCTAATCAATGAGCTTTTCTCTAAAATGAGTAGAGTGACTTTGTCATTGTGTTGACTTTTGTCTTTGTCAAATTTTTCCACCTGCGATTCTGTTTCATCAGCAGGTGAGTCGCGTGTGGAGGAGGCTCGTTGTTAATGACGTAGCCAATCAAAACGATGGAAACCAATGTGGTAACCAATGACATCGGCACCAGCTGATGTGTTAACTGCTGGTCACTGTTGCTTTATCTGGTCTGCACTGGTTAAAATAAAGACTTTATCTGCACAGAGAGCGTCTGTCTCTGTGTCTCTGCAGGGTGACTGTCAGTAGACTGTACAGGAGGGGCAGAGTGAGGGCAGATTGTCACTAGTTTATCCTTCACAGATACTTTTACTTAGTGAGAGATGCTTTGCTGAAGCAACGGAGGAAAACACAATGTTAGAGAGAAATGTAAAAATAGTTTCAGTTCATTATGAAACTATGGTGGAGGAAATTAGACCATGGTGGGCCGCCATAGATTAGCTAATGAATGGGACCACTTTGTTTGTGTGTGTGTGTGTGTGTGTGTGTGTGTGTGTGTGTGTGTGTGTGTGTGTGTGTGTGTTTGTGTCTAAAGGATCAATATCAATGATCAGACATTATTTGTGAAAACAAACAGAAATGAACAGAAAGCAAAGAAATATTTCTCCTTCAGTAAAGTTGATCAATGTAAACAAATATTAGTTCAGAGGATCTTCTGTATCCAGATGTGACCATTTACCAACAATGATAAACATTAATTTACTTTAACAACTAACAGCGGACATTTTCTACAGTTTCTATAAGAAACACAAGTCTTTGTGACTGCAGACTAAACTTAGTTCAACAGACATGAAAATATGAACAAAAGGAAATGTACAACTTTATGGATGTAAGCTATGTATGAACATAAATTAGGTTCAATTGTTAATGAAACATATCAGATCTACAACAGTAACAGAGAGTCAGTGAACTGACCTCAGAGTCTCCAGTCTACAGTGTGGACTCTCCAGAAAACCACACAGCAGCTCCACACCTGAATCCTGGAGGTTGTCACTCAGGTCCAGCTCTCTCAGATGGGAGGGGTTGGACTTCAGAGCTGAGACCAGAGAAGAACAGATGATCTCTGACAAACTGCAATCCCTCAATCTGAATAAAGAATAAAAGATGTGAGTTTAGAAGACAATGTTCCTGCTTGAAATCATTCAGTGTTTAATAATCTGTTCAGAGCTGAAGAAGGTTTAGAATGTACAAGTTTAGAAAATGGAAACTCCAAACACCTGAACCCAACAGGATGCAGGTTGCAAACTGTAAAATACAAAGAGTGAAAAAGAGCTCTCATTAATATTAATGACAACGTGCTGCTGCTTCAATAAAGACGTAGTGACTTCAGCTCTTAACCTCTGCCAGCTCCACCAGTGGCTCCATCTATACAAACTCATGTTGTGCAGCCAAACACAAAGAAAAACCCACAGAAACTGATTGAAGGTTCCACTCAAGATCCCAAAGTTTACAAAGACACCAAATATGTCAGGATGGATTTTGGGGAAATATGAACAAAAGACATCTACAATATTTCTTTTAGGATATCATAAAATGTCATAAAATCAAATCAGCCTCAGTTTAAACTATTCAGTCAGTATAAGCATCATATAGCTTCATAACAATGTTGGAAAAAGCAAAAAGTGAATCTATTTGTTATTGTCTGATAGTTGAAATAGAGATTATTGATTTATTCATTGTATTTATTGTCATCATTTCTTTTAAAACACATGATGGGGAATATAAGATGGAAATAAAGAGTGAATTATTCAATGTAGATTCTTCTTGTTATATTCAGGTCTTAAATGTGGAGCTCAACATTGCTCTGCCACAGTCAATGGACTAAACCACTGAAGAAGAAAACAGACTTTAGCATTAAGATACTCAGTGTGGATCAGTATAATATCAGCCTTATGTCTGCACTTTACTGTCAGCACAACTTTCACATCAGATTCATCTCAGCACAGAAGGAAAATATGGTGTCTGACCTCAGAGTCTCCAGTCTACAGTGTGGACTCTCCAGAAAACCACACAGCAGCTTCACTCCTGAATCCTGCAGGTTGTTGTTGTAACTCAGGTCCAGCTTTCTCAGATGGGAGGGGTTGGACTTCAGAGCTGAGACCAGATAATCACAGCTGATCTCTGACAAACTGCACCAACTCAATCTGAATAAAGAATAAAAGATGTGAGTTTAGAAGACAATGTTCCTGCTTGAAATCATTCAGTGTTTAATAATCTGTTCAGAGCTGAAGAAGGTTTAGAATGTACAAGTTTAGAAAAATGGAAACTCCAAACACCTGAACCCAACAGGATGCAGGTTGCAAACTGTAAAATACAAAGAGTGAAAAAGAGCTCTCATTAATATTAATGACAACGTGCTGCTGCTTCAATAAAGACGTAGTGACTTCAGCTCTTAACCTCTGCCAGCTCCACCAGTGGCTCCATCTATACAAACTCATGTTGTGCAGCCAAACACAAAGAAAAACCCACAGAAACTGATTGAAGGTTCCACTCAAGATCCTAAAGTTTACAAAGATACCAAATATGTCAGGATGGATTTTGGGGAAATGTGAACAAAAAACATCTACAATATTTATTTTAGGAACAGTGGAGTCATAAAAATTAAATCAGCTTCACTTTAAACTATTCAGTCAGTATAAGCGTCACATAGCTTCATAACAATGTTGGAAAAAGTAAAAGTGAATCTATTAGTTATTGTCTGATAGTTGAAAAAGAGATTATTGATTTATTCATTGTATTCATTGTCATCATTTCTTTTAAAACACATGATGGGGAATATAAGATGGAAATAAAGAGTGAATCATTCAGTGTAGATTCTTCTTGTTATATTCAGGTCTTAAATGTGGAGCTCAACATTGCTCTGCCACAGTCAATGGACTAAACCACTGAAGAAGAAAACAGACTTTAGCATTAAGATACTCATTGTGGATCAGTATAATATCAGCCTTATGTCTGCACTTTACTGTCAGCACAACTTTCACATCATATTCATCTCAGCACAGAAATAAAAAATGGTGTCTGACCTCAGAGTCTCCAGTCTACAGTGTGGACTCTCCAGAAAACCACACAGCAGCTTCACTCCTGAATCCTGCAGATTGTTGTCACTCAGGTCCAGTTCTCTCAGATGGGAGGGGTTGGACTTCAGAGCTGAGACCAGATAATCACAGCTGATCTCTAACAACCTGCAGTGATTCAATCTGAATAAAGAATAAAAGATGTGAGTTTAGAAGACAATGTTCCTGCTTGAAATCATTCAGTGTTTAATAATCTGTTCAGAGCTGAAGAAGGTTTACAATGTACAAGTTTAGAAAATGGAAACTCCAAACAGCTGAACCCAACAGGATGCAGGAGTTTTTTAATCCATCGTGGGTCTAACTAGCCTGTTCTGTGAGGTTCTTCTGATGGGGTGGAACCACACAGAAGGAACTTTTAGACTCTAGTTTAGTTCCTGTGGTTCAATAGTACCTGGAACTTGTGAAATCTGAAATACTGATGACCAAACTTAAAGGGGACATATAATGCAAAATGCACTTTTGTTAATGTTTATACACACACATTTGGGTATTCAGCTCAAAAGCTCTGTTCAGATTGTCATAGCACCACCTCCCCTCTGACTAACACCCTCCCTCGGACAATAGCTGCCTGAAAATTGGACATTCTATGCGTCAATTTCGTGTCAGCCACTAGGTGCCACTACTTTTAAGCAGTCCTTTAGGCTAATAACTCCTCCTCATTTGTCGCATATTCAAAAACCTTAGTGAATGGAGCCAGATCTCCCGGTACAGGCCACACCCATTTCCTCCTATAATTTATTTTTTCCGCGACAGTGCGAAATGTCCATAAACTACTTTTCCGTGTTCCTCCTATGCGCTTTGTCAGATTTTTATGAAACTTTTTATGTAGCACCTGGGGACCGTCCTGGCATTTTGATATATATACACTTCCTGTACATTTTTCGTCAAAACAGGAAGTGGAGTATTTCTCCACATTGGTATGTCCAATTGACATCAAGCTTGGGTTCATAGTTCCTCATGTTTCCATTAGGCATCGTGCACAATTTCAGGCCATTGCCACAAGGTGGCGCTCTCTAAAATGAAGAAGTTTATATCTCTGCATTGGCAAGTTTGATTAAATCGATGCTTGGTATGATGCTTGCCAACGGCTCCATGAGGCTCACTAATAAATGTGTCAACAGTAAATCACTTTGCGGAGTGCATAATAGTTATGAATATGAAATTCACAAGGCCTGTAACTCACATACCAAAAATTGTGTTTGTCGTGTTTGTAGCGCCCCTACAGTTTTTAAAAGAGCAGCCCCGGCGCCACGTTTCACCGATATGCATGAAACTCAATAGGAACGTGGAACGTGCTGAGACCTACAGAAAAGCCTCTTGGACCCATACTCCAAACCCCACAGTAAGTCAGCCATTTTCATTTTCATTTTCACTTTCGGCAAACTTTTTGCCTTGTATTTTAACAAACTCCTACTAGGGGACTCATCGGAGCTACTTCAAAATTGGTCGGTACAGTCAAAAAACATTGCTTATTAAATATTGCGGGCGCCCAGTTAGCTCAGTCGGTAGAGCTGGCAACCCGTGTACGGAGTCGCTGCAGCGGCCCAGGTTCGAATCCAATCTGTGGTCCTTTGCTGCGTGTCATGCCCTCTCTCCCGTCAATCTTCGGTCTCTATCAAATGAAAAGGCCTTTAAAATCTATATATATATATATTGTGGTATTTGTGACTGTACGTTGAACGGCGTGTACGTGGCGTGCCGTCAAAGTTTGATGTACCACAGAAGACACAAATTTGCTATAACTTGAGTGTACATTGTTCAATTGACACCAAACTTGGGTACTTAGGCATCTTGCACAATTTGAGGCCATCGCCACAAGGTGGCGCTCTCTAAAATGAAGAAGTTTAGAATAGAATTTAGAAGCAGTTATTGAATTAATTTTGAAAGTAGAAATCCAGCTAAACTCAGTAACAGTGAGGAGCTGCCTGCCAAAACACAGGCAACGCCAAGGCGGAAGTGGTAGGGCCAGAGCGTCATCCGCTTCATAATGCTGATCAATCAGAGCAGACTGGGCTTTACGGAGGGGGGTCCTAAAGAGACAGGAGCTAAAACAGAGCATTTCACACAGAGGCTGAAAAGAGGCAGTGTGAGAAAAATTATGTTTAAACATTAAAACATCTAAACCTGTTCTAATAGAGCCACTAAATACAATTATGAACCTGAAAAGAGGCATGATATGATTGAAGACAAACTAACTTGATCTGACCTGAGTGTTTCCAGTTTACAGTGTGGGCTTGCCAGTCCAGCAGACAGCAGCTTCAGTCCTGACTCATTCAGGTTGTTGTCACTCAGGTCCAGCTCTCTCAGACTAGAGGACTGGGAGCTGAGAACTGACGACAGAGCTTCAAAACTTCTCTTGGAGAGGTTACAGCGACTCAGTCTGAATAGACAGTAATCAACAATTAGAACAATAACATTTGTGTTATTAATACAATAACAAATAAAACAGACAGTAGAGTATTTATAAGTAATAATAGTAAGTAATAATACAGAAGTCCAACTCTCTCTGTACTTACAGAGCTTTGTTGGAGGCTATGACCACTGGCAGCAGCCTCAGAAGAGCCTCCTCTGAACCAGAATATTTCTTCAGGTCAAACACGTCCAGATCTTTTTCTGATGACAGTAAGATGAAGACCAGAGCTGACCACTGAGCAGGAGACAGTTTATCTGTGGAGAGACTTCCTGAACTCAGGGACTGTTGGATCTCCTCCACTAGAGAATGATCATTTAGTTCATTCAGACAGTGGAACAGATTGATGCTTCTCTCTGCAGAAGGAGTCTCTTCAATCTTCTTCTTGATGTACTGGACCGTTTCCTGATTGGTCTGTGGGTTACTTCCTGTCTGTGTCAGCAGGCCTTGTAGGAGATTCTGATTGGTCTCCAGTGAAAGACCCAGGAGGAAGCGGAGGAACAAGTCCAGGTGTCCATTTGGACTCTGTAAGGCCTTGTCCACAGCACTCTGGTGGAGATGCTTCAGATTCTGTTTGTCTTGAAATAATGTAGATTTCAGGAATGTTGTTTGTTGTTCTGCCAGCAGATTGACTCCAGAGTTGATGAATGTCAGATGGACATGAAGAGCAGCCAGAAACTCCTGAACACTCAGATGGACAAAGCAGAAGACCTTGTCCTGGTACAGTCCACTCTCCTCTTTAAAGATCTGTGTGAACACTCCTGAGTACACTGAGGCTGCTCTGATATCGATGCCACACTCTGTCAGGTCTGATTGATAGAAGATCAGGTTGCCTTTCTGCAGCTGCTCAAAAGCCAGTTTCCCCAGAGACTCAATCATCTTCTTGTTCTCTGGACTCAAGTGTGGATCTGTCACAGCTCCTCCTTCATACTTGATGTTCTTCAGTTTGCACTGAACCACCAGGAAGTGGATGAACATCTCAGTCAGGCTCTTGGGCAGCTCTCCTCTCTCTCTGGTCTTTAAGACATCCTCCAGAACTGTGGCAGTGATCCAGCAGAAGACTGGGATGTGGCACATGATGTGGAGGCTTCGTGATGTCTTGATGTGGGAGATGATTCTGCTGGCCTGCTCCTCATCTCTGAACCTCTTCCTGAAGTACTCCTCCTTCTGTGGGTCAGTGAATCCTCTGACCTCTGTCACTATGTCAAAACACTCAGGAGGGATCTGATTGGCTGCTGCAGGTCCTGTGGTTATCCAGACGCGAGCAGAGGGAAGCAGGTTCCCCCTGATGAGGTTTGTCAGCAGCACATCCACTGAGGTGGACTCTGTAACATCAGTCAGGATCTCAGTGTTGTTGAAGTCCAGAGGAAGTCGATACTCATCCAGACCGTCAAAGATGAACACAACCTGGAACTCTTCAAACCTGCAGATTCCTGCTTCTTTGGTTTCAGTAAAGAAGTGATGAACAAGTTCCACCAAGCTGAACTTTTTCTCTTCCAGCACATTCAGCTCTCTGAAAGTGAATGGAAACATGAACTGTATGTCCTGGTTGGCTTTGTCTTCAGCCCAGTCCAGAGTGAACTTCTGTGTTAAGACTGTTTTCCCAATGCCAGCTACTCCCTTTGTCAGCACGGTTCTGATTGGTTCATCTCTTCCAGGTGAGGGTTTAAAGATGTCTTCTTGTCTGATTGTTCTCTCTGGTCTGTCTGGTTTCCTGGATGCTGTTTCAATCTGTCTGACCTCGTGTTCATCATTGACCTCTGCAGTACCTCCCTCTGTGATGTAGATTTCTGTATAGATCTGGTTCAGAAGGGTTTGGTTTCCTGCTTTAGCAATTCCCTCAAACACACACTGGAACCTCTTCTTCAGGTAAGATTTAAGTTTTTGCTGACAAACTTCAGAATGACTTCCTGAACAAACACAAACAAAAATCATCAGCGTTGGCAGTCTTTGTATTGACTTTATCTAAATTTGCCTCCAACTTAGCCTGAACATACTTTTGTTAATGGGGAATGGTGCTTCCTCTGATTCTATACATGCTGAGAGTTTCTGCACTATTTATCAATTGTATTTCCTCGCTGTATATAACAATAATTCCTGGTTATAACATGACCTTAAAAATGTAATTGCACACCATGATTGCACAAATTCTGCTAGGTTACTCCCTCCCAGCATTTAAAAGATGTAGCAGCAGCCAATAGGGATGTTGGTGACTAACTTTACAGTCAATTAAATGGAAATTAAAAGTTCACTAGTCTGAAAGTAGCTCCACCATCCTCTTTCCCCTGAATAGTGACTTCTCTAACAGATAAGCTGTGTGAGGTTAGATGGTAGAAAGTGAAATAAGCTGCTAGAATCCCAAAGCAGGAACCAAAAGTTGGACTATAACTTATAAAGTGGGAGAAAGAGGACTCTTAAAACCAGCGGTGGCTTTAGTGCAGGGACAGGGGCCTGCTGCCTGCTGTGGCTGTATCCTGAGAGACTCTCTGGTGTGTGTGTCTGTGTGGGAGTGTCAGTATGTAGTCCTGCTGATTATCATGGGGTCTCATGAAAACAACGCATGGGGACACATGAGCATAAAACCATCCAGGTTACTCAGGGACATTAATATCTCCCAGTGTTTTAAACCAAGGAGTAAATAAAAGAGAATGAAATCAGGTGGCTCCATCATGCCTTTGTCCTCTCAAATAGCAATGATTGATAACTTAAACCTTCTCTCATAATAACCAGATCAGGCCTCCAGTTTTACTCTTTGGTAAATACAATCTGTACTTGGAGACACTGTTCCTTTACAAGGATCATGTTGTCAGTGTTAACCTACTCTTTTTACCTGAAATACAAATAAATAAAGTGTGACTGACCTTCTGGTCCTGAGCTGGTGTCTGGCAGACTCTGCACCAGATCGTTCCTCTTTATCCTCTCTAAAACCTTCTTGGTCACCTTCAGAGCTCGATCAAGGTTAAAGGCGTTCACCATCAGGTCCACTGTGTCCCACCTTTCTGCCTTCTCCAGCTTGAGTTTGTAGCCTTCCAGGATGTCGTGCTGCTTCAGATACCATTTAAACATATTGAATTCCTCATCTTTTAAATCCCCTAGAGTGTTCAAAAGGTCCTCTGCTGTCATCGTGGCTCTCTGTTAAAGTCAGGCAGTGTTGGCAACCTGAAGGAAAACAGTTACACAAATGTATCAGAGCAACAACAGGAGTTCTGATTGGCCGACACAGGAGCTGTGTTAGTTTGCAGTATTTGTGTGCAGAGTCCAGTTAAAGCTCCTCCTGCTGCTGGGATGAACTTAATGTCATTTTGAAATGGAACACTGCTCACACTTCTTTCAGTTAAAGACAGCCATCTTTGAGTTAAAGCAGCACTCCGGTGTTGTGTTGCTTTCAATGTACATGCACAGAAACAGGCATACATACAGCAAACAATGACAACAGGGTCTATAAGGTAAACAAGGTGTGTCATCCCCTCTCTTTCCACCCATGTTTCCTGTCTCTCTACAGCTGTCTATCAAATAAGCCAACAAAAGGCCAAAAAAAAAGACATTTAGTTTGAAACTTGAATGTAGTTGGAGGGACTTTATGACCCAGCAGAGATTATGTGTAGTGTCAGATGATAAACTGATCACAGGTCAGATGCAGGTGTGGTAGGTGGTACAGACAGAAACCTGTTTCAGACCTGCACTAATGTAAATGTGTCACAAGATAAAACAAACATTTAAAATTTCAATTTCAATCAGAACTCAATTTTGACAAGAATTGAGTCAGTGCGGTTCGCCTTTGGTGGGCTGTGTAATTCAATTCAATTCAATTAATTTTAGTTTATAATCATCAAAACATAATTGAAAATGACTTTAATATTAAAGATCCTCTGGGCTCCACCCTTAAATAAGGGAAACGATAGCCAATAATCGATTAATCAGTCTCATAAAAATACACTAAACTACTTATTCAAAAGTCAGATTAATAATTAAACTAAAATCTTTATTAATAGTTAAAGTGGGAGTTTTGGAGTTCTGCATAGAAGAGGTTGGTGTCGCTGACTCTTGTACGACATTAAATAGGCCACCATATATAAACAGAAGTATTTATTAAAGAGATATAACAAAAGCAAACAGACGATAATACACTATATACAATGTGTGTGTGTGTGTGTGTGTCCTTTGTCCTCTGACCACATATTTTCACTTTTTATTAAAGTGGCACCAGCATTGTTGTCATTGTAGCTTTTTGAAATGTGGAGTGTATTGTGAAAACATAATGACAACCTATCATGACACACAATATGTAAGTAAAGCAACAAAAATGACTTATGATGGACATATCTAAGGGACAATTCAGCTAGAGGATAGATTAACCCCACAAAACCCACTGTTAGACCCCAGGCAGATACTGTAGTCACTAGTGAAAATGTATAGCTTAATTTACCCTATTATTGTCCTGATTATTTTGGTTGGACTGGTCATTTGTTTTTCCCTAATATTTACAATCTGTGGCACACGAAGTACATTTATTGTTGAATAGAGAACGCATATTAGGGGGTTGTCAAATGATGCAGGATGAGGAACTGAGAGTTTGCATACAGTGAAAGGCACACAGGCTGCATTAAGTTCACACTGATACTCAGTACGTGCAACTTTATAAGTCCTTATTTCTTCCTTTATTTTATAAGGAGTATGGTTTAAACCTGTTCTATATGAAATGCCCTGAGATAACTTCTGTTATGATTTGGAACTAAATAAAATTCAGTTGAATTGAATCAGTATTGTCAGCTGAAATGTATCTTAAGTTCTACAGTCTAACTGCTATGTTAGTGCTTTAAATGGGCTTTGAAGTGCTTAGGTCCCTCCACCACCACATACATACTCCTAAACTGAGTTTCTCACTCTTTCTCTGTGTGTACAGACAGACCCCTTATTTTAATTTAGTATCTGTTGGTCACATACACACAGACACAGAAATCTGAATTACAGTAAGTTTAAAAGTCCTGTTTTAATGTCAAATTATATATAATCAGAATCAGAATCAGATTTATTGCCAGGTAGGTTTTTACTCATATGAGGAATTTGTCTTGGTGCAATGGTGCTTATTTTTTAGTTTTTTCATTTTATAAGGAATATGGTTCTTTAATTTCACAAACTGTGGTCTGCCTGTCGGATAGTCATCGACCCATGTGATGAGGGGAGCACCCACCTGCATGTTCTCCAGTTTGGCCTTCAGCTGTCCGGGCTGGATGGTGTTGAATGCGCTGGAGAAGTCGAAGAACATGATGCGGACTGAGGTGTTGGGTCTGTCCAGGGAGGAATAGGCTTTCTGCAACAGGTAGATGATGGCATCATCAACCCCCACATGAGGTTGATATGCGAACTGCAGGGGGTCTTGCGATGCGCACACTAGTGGTCTGAGGTGTGCCAGGACCAGTCTCTCCATGACTTTCATGATGTGAGAGGTCAGTGCTACCGGCCTGAAGTCCTTTAGTGTCACAGGATGTCCTTTTTTTGGGCACTGGGACCAGGCAGGATGTTTTCCAGAGCACTGGCACTCTCTGAAGGTGCAGCCTGAGGTTGTAGAGCTGCTGCAAAACTCCACAGAGCTGGCTGGAACATGCCTTCAGTACTCAGGGGCTGATGTGGTCCAGTCCAGCAGCTTTCCTCTGTTTGAGCCTCTCCAGCTCTCTCCTCACTTGGCTGACAGTGATATGAAGTCCAGTCTGGGAGGTAGTGGGCGATGTGGCAGGGTCTGTACTGGGGGGTGGGGGTGACGAGGTTGATACAGAGAGGTGTCTGTTGCAGGAGGTGGTAGGGGGCTGTGGGGGCTGTGAGGGCTGTGGGAGTGTCCTGGGGTTATTGCTCAGAGGAGCATCCAAGATGTTCGACAGCCTTACGTGTCTTGGGGGCTGATTGTGGGGGGCGGCGCCCGTGCATGGGGACAATTGCATACCGGTATTTTTGCTACTGTGCAAATTTCCATGACTTTTGGAGCATGTTGTGGCCGCCAAATATTTGGTCGTTGGCGGCAATTCAATTCAATTCAATTCAATTTTATTTGTATAGCGCCAATTCATAACAGAAGTTATCTCAGGACACTTTTCAAATAGAGCAGGTCTAGACCGAACTCTTTAACATTAATTACAGAGACCCAACAGTACCACCATGAGCAAGCACTTGGCGACAAGGGCAAGGAAAAACTGCCTGTTAAAAGGCAGAAACCTAGGACAGATCCTCCGGCTCTAGGTGGGTGGTCGTCTGTCTCGACCAGTTGGGGTGAGAGAGAGAGAGAGAGAGAGAGAGAGAGAGAGAGAGAGAGAGAGAGAGAGAGCGACAGACAGACAGACAGGTGCACAGCAACAACAGTATTGGCAATGGCAGTCAAGCAGGACCATGGCAGGAGGCTCCACCAGGATCCATGAGAACCTGCGAGACGAGAAAGCACAAGAACTCCGGGGAAGAAGTGAAGTTAGTAACATGCATTAAAGGGACATGAATGAGTGCAGAAAGAGAGAGGAAGAGAGTAGCTCAGTGCACCATGGGAAATCCCCCGATAGTCTAGGCCTATAGCAGCATAACTAAGGGATGGTTCAGGACTCACCTGATCCAGCCCTAACTATAAGCTTTATCAAAGAGGAATGTCTTAAGCCTACTCTTGAAAGTGGTGAGGGTGTCTGCCTCCCGAACCACAACTGGAAGCCGGTTCCACAGGAGAGGAGCTTGGTAACTGAAGGCTCTGGCTCCTGTTCTACTTTTAGAGACTATAGGAACCACAAGTAGCCCAGCATTCAGAGAACGTAGTGTTCTAGTGGGGTAATAGGGTACTATGAGCTCTTTAAGATATGAAGGGGCCTGACCATGAAGAGCTTTATAGGTGAGGAGGAGTATTTTAAATTCAATTCTACATTTTATAGGGAGCCAATGCAGAGTAGCTAGTACAGGAGAGATGTGATCTCTTTTTCTAGTTCCTGTCAGTACTCGTGCTGCAGCGTTCTGAATTAATTGGAGCGTTTTAATGGACTTATTGGGGCAACCTGATAATAAAGAGTTGCAGTAATCCAGCCTTGAAGTAACAAATGCATGGATTAGTTTTTCTGCATCTGTCTGTGATAGTATGTGTCTAATTTTTCTAATATTGCGTAAATGAAAGAAGGCAGTCCTAGAGGTCTGCTTTATGTGGGAGTTAAATGACAAATCCTGATCAAAGATAACTCCAAGATTCCTGACAGTGGTGCTAGAGGCCAAGTTAATGCCATCTAGAGTGACTATATCTTTAGACAATGAGTCTCTAAGGTTTTTGGGGCCAAGAACAAGAATTTCGGTTTTTTCTGAGTTTAACATCAGAAAATTGCAGGTCATCCAGGATTTTATGTCCTTAAGACATGTTTGTAATTTAGATAATTGATTAATTTCATTGGGTTTGATTGATAGATATAACTGCGTATCATCTGCATAACAGTGAAAGTTAATGGAGTGATTCCTAATAATGTTGCCTAAAGGGAGCATATATAAAGTAAATAGTATTGGTCCAAGTACAGAACCTTGTGGAACTCCATGACTAACTTTAGTATTTATGGAGGATTCATCGTTAACATGTACAAACTGAGTACGATCTGATAAGTATGACTTAAACCAGGTTAGGGCAGTTCCTTTAATGCCAATTTGATGCTCAAGTCTCTGTAAAAGAATATCATGGTCAATGGTGTCAAATGCAGCACTAAGATCTAATAATACAAGTACAGAGACAAGTCCATTGTCAGAAGCAGTCAGAAGGTCATTATTAACTTTAACCAGAGCTGTCTCTGTGCTATGATGAACTCTAAATCCTGACTGAAAATCCTCAAATAAACTATTGTTATGTAGAAAGTCACACAACTCTTTGGCGACTACTTTCTCCAGAATCTTAGAGAGGAAGGGGAGGTTAGAAATCGGTCTATAGTTGGCTAAAACCCCTGGGTCAAGAGTAGACTTTTTAAGAAGGGGTTTAATTACAGCTACTTTAAAGGACTGTGGTACATATCCTGATAATAAAGAAAGATTAATCATATCCAGTAAAGAAGTGCCAATTAAGGGAACAACTTCTTTAAGCAGCCTAGTTGGGATCGGGTCTAACAGACAGGTTGATGGCTTCGATGAAGAAATGATTGAAGTTAACTGATGAAGATCGATAGCAG